AGGTAAATTAAAACATTTTAAAAAACCACATAAATCCATCAACTCCCTCTGAAGCTGAGGTGAAGGGCCCTGTGTTTTATCTCCCGGTATAGCAGCACCACCTACTGGCGTAAAAAGGCATAGCCCTATTGAGTGATTTTCTTCATTGGACAACTAACCTCATTTTTAAAAATAAAATGAGCAAATATGTTTCTTTTCTTTACCTGGAAAAATTGCACTACAACAGATCTAATGAAAGAAAACGTTATTAATTCACAGAAGCAAAGAACTGAAGACGAACCCACAGGGACAAAAGACTTCTACAGATACTTAGAAGACCAAAAGAGGACAGAAGATGGTGACTTAGAACAGAAATTTATGTTTTTGTTCTCATCAAATTCAACTCCTAACATTTCTTTTATCAATAAGCAGTCTAATATTTATTCCACAATAGTTAAGTTTGAAGTGAGATGAATTTATGTATTTCTTTGCATTTATGAGATAAACATAAATGCAAAGTTGTGTGCTTATCGATGCAGTGAAGTTGATGAAATTTTGGTCAGTATTTGAATCATTTCTTATCTAGGAGGTTGGCAGAACCATCTGTTTGGTGCCCAAATGGAAGAAGCATATCTCTCTTTCTTAGTAGGTACTGTAGTTTATAGAGAATTCTAGGCTTTTGTTCACACTGTTCCCTCTATCTAGAGTTTATTTCCTCTCCTGTCCACCCAATTAAACACTACTCATCTTTAAGGCAACCTAGAGTCCCTCCCTCCAGGTGCCTAGCATAACACTCCATTGCCACCCAACCCTCATATGGATTAAGAGACCATCTTTACAGTTTATATAATATCCCAGGCATATGCCAATCACTGTACATGGCCTCGGTTTTTAATCACCTGTTTCTGCATTCATCTTCCCCACTGTAATGACAGCTCCCTGAGGACAGGAACTTGGTGTTATTTATTTTTATTGCCAAGCATCTGGTGGCACAGTAGATGTTTATTTTATGAGTGAATTCAGAAAAGTAACTAGTGTCACAACAGAACTGGAAAAAACACAGATGCCCCTATAGCTAGAGCTCTCCTGGCCCACAGTCATTTCTCAGGCTGCAGGGCCAAGGACTGGACTGAATTTAAGAAATAAGAGAATCAGAGTGGATCACAGGAACATCAGTGACATACACTCACAATCGGTAAGAGACGTAAAGAAAAATAACACACTGATGGAATGCCGAGGGAGTATCCTCTGGTTCCCTTCCTCAGCCTAAACCAGGATCTCGTGAATAGCACTGATGTAGTAGAGAGAGAAAACTGTGTAGAATAACTTACAGAGGTGCGTACGTCTTTAGGACCACAGAGCTGTTAAAAGCTCCATGTGACAATCAGCTCGCTCTGTCACTTCATACTTGACACCAATTAACTTATCTTCAATGCGGCAGCACTGTCTAGTGGTGGGAAAAGCATAGACCTACTGAGTGATTTTTCCTCCTTGGACAACTAACCCCATTTATAAGAGTGGCAGAGATTAATTTGGGGCTTAGGAAGTCTCAACCAAGTTGGGGATAAACTAGTAAAAGATTGAGGTGAGGGTGAAAATGTGCTACACATAGCCTTTAAATGGCAGTTTTAATTGGCATGAAATCTGAAATGCGATATTTATTCATATATGTCGATTGTTACAAATTTTGGATTTGTGAAAGCTCATAGGGGAAATTTTTAAATTTATTTAGAGTTATTTCTACAACTGAGGAAATGTGGCAGATGGTGCTTCCTGATGCATTTTTTTGGTCCCCCCCCTCCCCCCGTTTTCTACTAATTTAGTATGAGAAACCTCCAGCCAGCCTCTTCTAAAAACATGTCCAAACTGTTAACAGAGTGCTTTTACATGGCTGGGTAATTGGAATTTTGTATTTTGCTTTTTATATGTTTGTATTATTTTATTTTTAAATGTGTATTATTGTTGTAATTGCATTAAAACAAACCACCTAAACAGTCGTCTAAATCAGCATATGGTGAGCAGTTGGCCCAAACCTCCCTTTTTCCTGTTTGGGCAATATTCCTCACTGCATTTGCAAGTCTCTCAGGTGACCAGTGGGAGGCAGGAAGGAAATATGAGCCTAGGTATTTACAAGCAAGTCCTCCAACTGCTTCCGCTCCCGCCCGCCCCCTCCACAACTGTGGAGGAAAATAGGCTGGAATCAGTTTTAGAAGCTTGACATCTCAGCCTGCAGTTGATCTTCCTGGCCACCAGGTGACGCTTGTGTCTCTTTACTGGGAAAGATTTGAATAACAATTATTTAGAAAGAAATTTTTAGAAATTTGGGACAATAGACAAATCATCAGATGAACTCATAGAGAAATAAGAGTACGTTTCTGGGCACATATTTATGAACAGATCAGAAACTAAGTTTCTAAAGGGCTGATATGAGTATTTCAAATACCTATCTCAGTGTTGGGCACAAAGTCAATGCTAATAAGTATTTTTGGGAACCAAAGATCTGTGAAAATAGTGCTGTCTTACATAAAGAGATCCATTTGACATTCTTAATCTTCATATATTATCAACAATATGGTGCAGAAGTAGCATAAGAATCTGTAAATTAAAATGGAAATAGCCTGGCCAGGTAGCTCAGTTGGTTAGGGTGTTGTCCAGATACACCAAGGTTGTGGGTGCGACCGCCGGCCAGGGCACATACAGAAGCAACCAATCAGTGCTTCAATGTGTGGAACAACAAATCGAAGTTTCTCTCTCAAATCAATAAATTTTTTAAATAAAAATAACCACAGGCTGCGTTGTCCCAGTAAATACATGGATACCTTTCACTTCATGAAATTTTTTCCCTGCAGACCCCACTGAGCTCTTAATTTTGAAAAGTGAATCAAGTTAGTGGTAACATGAAATCATTCCGATGTTTTGACTTGGGATGGGAGGATGGCTTATGTCTTGCATTTACCAGCAAGTCTAAATGGATTTATGAACTGATGTTTCTGAAGCCAAAGGCATAATTATTTTAAGTCTGATCTGCCATCTGTCCCTTCTATTACATGGACATTAGAACACTAATCTGCCACATCTCAATTTTTCCCTATTTTGACTGCATGGATCTCTGCACTGTGTTCTGGAAAGCACCCCCACTCAACCCTCCACCTCATTCATTCATTAACTCATCTCCTGTTTAGCTCATCTAGTTTTACGATTCATTCATTGATTCAACAGACTTTTATTGAATGCTTCTATGGTGTCAGGGACTATTTGAAGAGTATTTCTTAGATTCCCAGGTGGTTTTCAGAATTGCACATTCTCAACTCTAAGGATGTGAGTTGGTTGTCTTTAGTTTTATCTCCAATTTCTAGGATTTGATTTACTCATCTGTGTCATTTGGGATCCCTGTTCCTTTGGGGTTGCTCACACCATGTGAGCAAAGTGAGTAGCTTACTGTCTGTGCACAGGGCTCTCACCCTATCGGGGATCTGTACTAGTTAAGGTCCCGTGGGTCTCCCTTGGCCCAAGGCTCACGCAGCCTCAGAACAATCGCTGCCACCCAACCCAAGCGGCGGAGCGGCCAAATGGCCCAGCCGCGCTGACAGCCTCCTCACGGAATCTGGCGGGGTTTTCCCAGACACTCAAGTTTGGGGCTTCCTGTGAAGCTATGTTCTCCTCTGGTCTTTTATACCAGATGTTTCCATATCTCGTAAGTTCCTCCAAAGTACTGGTCAATCGATGGACTTTTGGTGTCACAATGGCATTAGATTTCATTTTCATTACTGTCATTGTTTCAGATTTGGGTTGGAAGGCAAAAGTATTTGCAATCTAACCATTTATCCAAGTTCCCTTCTTAACTGGCATTTATTTCAATTCTGTTCAGTAGTCAGCATGTCTTGGAGCTTAAATCTGTCTAAATTGCTAGACACCAGCCCTAGCATTTGAGAATTCGAAAGAGGGTTTTTGAATTTATTTTGTTTACCTCCCATGAGTGCCAGAGCAGAGTAGAAGGAAAATGCTCTGAGTTCAGAGTTCCAGCTGAGTGAAGGCATCCAAGTTGGCCCTTGGAGAACCGGAAGAATTGGACGTGTAGAGACAGGTGCACAAGGAGACAAGAGCGGCAACTAGCTACTTTGGCTTGAAATGTTGAACTCATGACAGAGCTTAGTCACTTAAAGTGATAAGGGGGGAAAAGGTCTGTCATATGTGTATATGTGTGTGTGTGTGTGTGTGTATATATATGTATATATACACATACACACTGTACAGAAAGTGAAGAAAAAGTTTCCAGAGATTTTTAAAAATCTATAGACAGACACAACTATCAGAGATCACCTATCGCAAAATTAAGGTCAGATGATAAATAAAACCCATGGAATTCCTATTAGTACATGTGTATATAGAGACCACTTAGTGCCCATTTGTGTGTTGGTGTGTGCACGCACATGTGTACATGTGCACGCACACATATTAAAGATGCAGATTCAATACCAGGTAACTTGGACTGCCATCTGCTACATATTTGGAGAACTTACAGGTAACTCTTCACTTCTACTACCAAGACACTGTTTAACAGGCAATTATTAATTTATTATGAGTCTAATCTAACACTTCTAAACTACTGATAAGGTGCTTTTGGGGAATGGCCCATTCTTTAGACAGTGTTCTCTGCAGAACCAATGAACAGATTCTGAATTAGCATAATTGAGGGGGCAAAGGGTGGTCCTCTAGGGAGGCATTTTTGAATATATATTTTTATAACAACATTCAATATTAAGGGATGATTTGGAAAATCCTAGTTGGGAAAGTGGGGACTGAGATGGTCAAGTCTGTTTAATCACGAGGAATCCCAAGTGGGTAACATGTAATATTTACCCTTGTCCTAAAGGGACATGGATTTTTAAAAGGTTGAAAGATAGAGCTTTAGAGGATGGTTCTAGGGCCTGAAGCCTCCTTAAGACCCTGCATTGTTTGGTAAAAATTTGACCATAAAAAGTACTTTGAAAGCTAGTGTCAATATGTCCGGGCACAAACAGTAAGGAAAACTCATCGGTTCCTTTACTATGCAGTTTGATCTCTCCACTGACTGTTTTTTACAATGACCTAAAATTTAAGAAAAAAATTATTATGAATTTAGCTTTTATTAAAATTAAATAAGCAAAAGCAAGTTTTTCAGAAATTTTTACAAATTACTTACATAAAAGAAAGTTAATAGGGACAGTCCTAAATTTGCAACAAATAATTACAAAAGTCCTAGGGCAGCATGAGTATAAACCACGCCGCAGCATGGTGATCGAAGTGATATGAGTAAGGCATAACTAACGTTTGCACCAGACCAGAATTAAAAACAAAACAAACTGTAAAAGCTTAGTTCTACATTAAGCTTCTTCTCTTCCCTCGGGTCCTTAATGGTTTACACTATGTAATTTTTTTTAACAGACACATCATGTCGAACTATAAATTACATAGATGGGCAGTTAAAGTGAAAAGCCCCCTAAAATGTACAAACTAACTGGTACTGAGTTGGGGTCTCCATTTGCCTTTATGTACAGTTAAATGTAAACCATATTTTCACAGTTTAAGTGTTTTGTGAATAGATAGATGCACAGTACCATGTCAGGTTTGCAATTGTTCCTGAAAACTGGCTCTAGGTTTTGCACCCAATGCCTGTCGGCCGCTGGGATGCACGTATTTACATAAATAAGAAAGTATCATAGTCAATGGTCAAGACAGTTCAGCAAGAGCAGGCTCTCCAACAGAGTGATATGCAACACCGCAGTTTACAGACTTGTGCAAATATAAGCATTAGGACAGAGAAATCTGAGGCAAATTCAATTCGCAAAACCTTGTATCGCTACTGTTGTAAACCTGGGGATTAAACAACCCTCGGCGAGTTCTGCTCTCTATGGCTTTTTTTTCTTTTAAAATCTTAAAGCCAGAGAAAATGCACACATACTACCCACACGCTCGCACGCACACACTCCACACACACACAGAGTTCTCGTTTCACTTTAGATTATGGTACATAGTGCAACTTCATCACAATGTCGAGGTTCAACACACATTCGCTGCGTGTTTTCCTGTGCAAGTGCTTAGTGGTCTAAATCCTAGTTGAGGGTATTCATTTGCAGAACCACATGATTCTGGAGGTTGAAGGAAAAAAAAATCACAAGAGTTTCATTACACTTCTCAGACCAGCGCTGGATGTGCAAAGGCAGCGGGCACCTGGCCGTCCCCACAGCCAGGTCAGGGTAACTTTAAGGGAAGATCCAAGCAGCTCGTTACTTAGATTGGTCTCTAGAAAAATAGGTCAGGATATGCTGTATCTTTGTCAGCCGTTCTTTCAGGGACTTCATTGACAAAACTGACAGCTGGTATCGGGGGTCCACAGGGAGAACTGCGAGAAGCCACCAACACCAGGCAGGTCCATTAGGAGTTGCCTGAAAATAACCGACATTTTATAGGATTAATAAAACAAATATTTATGCAATAACAACAGTAACAACCCGTCAACAAGCTAGTCTTTATTTAATGATCATTTCCCCTACCAGGCCTTTTCTCAAATTTTTTAATCAATCATGCAAAGAAGGCTATTACTACGCCCACATAAAATTGGAAGACTGAAGCTCAAAAATGTAATGCAAATTGACAAATTGTCCAAGATCTCTCAGCTCATACATGGCAGAGCCAAGATTCAAATCCAGACCTGACTCAACAGCCAACACTCTTTCCTCTGCACTGAGCTGCCTCAAAGCAGGGTTTCCTCCACCTCAGGTTACTGGCATTTGGGGCCAGATAACTGTTTGTTATGAGAACTGTCTGCATTGTGGCCTGTTTAGCAGAACCTCTGCCCTCTACATTAGCACCTCCTGAGTTGTGACAGTCACAAATGTCTCCAGATATTACCAATGTCCCACGGGGGCAAACTGCGCCTACCTGAAAAATGCTTTCTTAAAATATACACTTAAAACATTTTTTTAAAGTCAGTTATTTTAAAATTTCTTCAAAGAACTGTGGACTCCTAGGAAAGACAGAAGTCGCCTTGATGTTGAAAGGGCTGACTACTGGCTATTGAAAGAACAGGAATTTATATGAAGGAATGTTTAAGCCACCATTACTACACATTCAACTTCTTCTTATTGAACATGAAACATGAAATTTCAAAATGACAAAAGGAGCTATGACATCAGTGTTGATCTCAATACACTCCTAGAATCACACTAGAGAGATTTCTGTACTTATGTACTGTTTGTGCTCACCTCAGCATGACCACCTCCTTCTGCAGATCAGAGACATCAGAAAACTACATTTCCCAGAACCCCCCTTCCCCGTATGGTTCCAGGTTAGATTTGGCCAGTGAGAGGCACTCCTTTTAGATGTGTGAGTTGGAAGAGAGGAAGCCACTATTCTCTGGAGACTGTTGCCAACTGTGGGCAGATGTGAGATTTACAGAAGCTTCCAGAGAAGTCTTGAAAACCACCTGCTCCACTGCTGCAGCTGTGACATGGTGGGGACTTCCCCAGGATTCCTAAGAATGACAGCAGCTTCCCCGCAAGGTCCTGAGCAGCAGTGCGCTTCACTGCGGCGGGCACAGGCTGCAGGCAGACTCCCTGACCGCCGCCCAGGCCCCGATCTTCCCCAGCTGCGGGCAGACCCACATCCTGCAGCGCGCCCTTCATTCCTGGAACACGCTGAGCGGCTGCCCGGTTCCTGGCGAGTCCTGACTTCCACAGACTGCAGAAGGGGGCAGGAGAGTGAAAGGGGAGGGTGGGGAAGGCGATGCGAGAGTGATGCTGAATTTCTCTACTAGTTGGTTTGTTAACCCTTAAAGTTTCTTTATTCAATTTTGTGCTTACCAAAAGCCATTTCTGTCGCGTTTAATCAGATTCAGGTACAAAGGATAAACCAAGCATGCTAGACCCAAAACAAGTACTCAGTTACATGGTCTGACGCTGAACTTTCATGTTCAGGGGAAGCATTCAGCTGGGATCCAGACTGACTTACACTAGCCTTTGAAAATTGAAATGAGAAGCAGTGTGCATCACAGTGGGATCTATTAGCTCTCCATCTTCATATATTTATTTATAGTCATTCCTCTATGAAATCTATTACATTCTGACCACAAATGCTTTATTCGCTTCAATTCAAAATGTTTACACCTAAAAGTCAGTGCTTGACAAGTCTAAACTCAGATTTTCCAGGCTAGGGACTCTTCCTGTTTGCCTTTGACAGCGCCTACTGCACAGATCTGCTTGCCCAGAAAGTGTCTGCTGCACATTAGATTAAGCTTAAATGTAAGCCCTAAGCACCTGAGTTAGACCATAAGAACATCAGTTTCCTGAGAAGTGTAGTATTAAACACGAAGAGACAAAAAGGAATTTCACTGCCAGGCTGAAAGTTGGGAACAAAAGGAGAGGTGAGAAAAAAATCTGACAGAAAATGATACATCTCTCAACTGTCCAAGAATGACGGCAGACTGGCTCAAAGGCACAGCTGTCTCGCAGTCACGATATACTGGGTGGTACCATGCCCCATTTTTCATGTCTTATTTCTCCTCAGTTAAGGGCTTGCTCCTTCCCTGGCCCTCACTCCTCCAGGCGACGAGCTGACCCTACTTGCAGCCCCTTCCCATAGAAGACGCGGCGCACGCCGCTGTGCGAGAGCATGGGCATGATTCTACAGACGGGTTCCAAGGAGATGCACGTGAAAAAGTCAACAAGAAAGGAGACTTAAAAACCTATTCACTTGGGTTTATTAAAAAAGGTGAGACTTTTGGAAATAACATCAAAGCCACCATACCTGAAGGTTTTCCTCCCTCCTGGGCATCGATCCAAAGTGCTGAAGAATTTGGCTTCGAAATCTGTCTCTTAGGTTCTGAAACCAGCTGCAGGCTTGAGAATACACCAAATCGTGAAGCTGCCTGAGATTCTCTACATCATCTTCATTCTCAACCTAGAAACACAAGTTAGTGAGACTTCTGTGTCTAATCTTCTCTGTCTAATATCACCAATTCTACAGAAATGGAAGAAACAAACAAAACAAAACAGGGAATGCCTATTTCGGTGCTGGATCAGAGTAATATTCTCATGCAATATATATCACACCTCTGCCTCACATGATGCCAGTGGACCACACTACAGAAAGACAGCAAGGCCTGGCCTCCACCCAGCCTTGCTGAGCAGCAGTGCAACACTGCCGAGCCCTACCAACAGCCCCCAGTCAGGAGGAGCGGTAAGGCTGAGAGTGAGTCCTTGGACAAAGGTCTACCCCAATTTGGAATTCCTTCTGTCTTTATGGATCAGTGGCTTTTGAAAGCAGTGAAACAAAAAGCAGAAGAGTACAGATGCTACAATAAAAGGAAAGATGGGGGGGTAAGGTGCAGATGACATGGCAGAAAGCGTAACAGGATAGAAGACAAGTGTAACGACACCTCTCACCAGGGAACTGGGTCAAGAAATGAAAACAAAAAATATGCAGCAAATAACTTAGCCTATAAAAAGATAGAGGATAATTTATGCAACACTGGACTTCTCCTGCTATAAAGGCCCAAGGCTGTGGCTCCCTCAGCCATCCCTCCAGACGCTCTGCAGACTACTGCATCATCAAAGTGCGAAATTAAATGCATCAGCCTTGCAGCCTGAGACCCAGAGTGGTCGGTCTCACAGAAGCACTCAGCTGGAAGATGGAACATTAACTCACCCACCTCATCCCGACTGCTTTAACGCACATTTCCATCCCACTCAATACCTGCCAGGGAGTGCTCTGTTCCATATACATTAACCCATCTGAACAAACACCAGGCTTGGCTCAGCCTTTCGCACTTCAAGGATGACTCAATAGAAAAACAACAAAGGGATTCTAAGTACATTCTGAAATATGAAAGGTGAGTCTATAGCACAGAAGAGGCAAAAAAACATACTTTTTTGAAAGATCTGAAATGGCACACAAAATGGAAGCTTAAGAGGCATCTACTTTTGCTCAACAATGAGAATGCACTTAATGCCGCTGAACTGTACACTTAAAAATGGTCAAAATTCAACCACTGCTCCTGTGACGTGCCTACCATGCAAATGCACACACACGTACATTCCAGGCACCTGCTGGCTGCTGAGCCTGGAGAAATGAAGCCGGTCTAGGTTCTGGTCTCCCAGTTCTCTTGGAACTCACAGTGATTAAGAGCAAGATGAGAAAAGGGGAAGTGGAAACTAATTTGCATAAGTATTGATGAGGGTCTCTGACAGGAAGAACTGTTCTATCTGCCTAGAAAACACAGCCCGGATGCCTGGCCAATGCCTAGGACAGAGTGTACCTAAGTGTGCTGGAAAACAACGTTGGGTAATACCTTAACATCTTCCAGATATTCAATGTCTGCAGTGCAATATCCATCTTTCATTCCTCTTTTTAAAACCCTAAACCGCTTTCCGCCAACGGTATCAACCACAGACCTCCCATCAGGTAAGAAATGTACGTTTCTAATTTGTAACATACAACCATAATCTGCAAAACTAAAAGAAAAATTCCAATTAATATCAAAGTTCAAGCAACAAGCACACGAGTTCTCAATAATATTCAAGGAAAAGTTCCAATATAAATAAAAATATTTAAGCCACAAAAAGCATACCTATTCTGTGTATCACTGACACACATCCCAAACTGTTTAGTTCCAGTTTGTATACTTCTTCGAATCATCAATCTGTATCTTGGCTCAAATACATGAAGAGGGCAAGGCACAGTGGGGTAGGCTATAGTGCAAACAAATATTGGAACATTCTTGGTCAAGCTGAAGAAGAGAGAAGTTTCATTGTTATTAGTATCAGAACATACATCCAAAATGAGTAAAGCTTAAAACAGTAGCAAATTAATATAAAACAAGAAGAAATTAGCCTTAAATAAGGTGACTTTTACTCTTGGCAAGTATGAGAATCAGCATCGCCTTCACTGCGCTCACAGATACAATATTAATACAAAAACATCTGTCTGTCTGTCATCCTCTTAAGTACACAAGCCAATGAGTCAATCTGAATTCAAGATACCACGTTATCGTACAGAACTAAGTATCTTTATGAATCAAAAAAGCAATTGACCATTTACTATTTTATGTTGAAATAGTAAATACCTGTCTCAAATATCTGTAACGTCACAGAGTTAATCTTTTATCCGTAAAACACTCTTACTTTTAGATAACAATGAGAAAAAATGAGCTCCCAGAAAAAAATGCAAATCATTAAAAATTCTTAGGCGTTAAAAATATTTTCAAATTCACTATCAAAAATAGGTAATTCAATAACGTTTTTCCAGATAATTAAAATGACACATTTTTCCATTGCCAGACTGGCAGAAAATGAAGATACAGGCAACACCCAGCATTTACAAGGTGTGGAGAGGCTGGCAGTGCGGGGCAGACCAAAATGAGGCAACCACGCTGTGGAGTTTGGCCATGTGCATCAAAAATGGTTTTAAATGGTCATATCCTTTGAACCAACAGGCTCACTTTCCCCCCACAAGTACTAAGAATGTTCAAGGTGGCAATGTGTACAGCAGCCAAAACTTAGAAGCAAAATGAGAGGGCTAGTAAAATAAGTTACAACACAGCCGTAACATGGGACACATTTAAATGTCTATATTAATGAGAAAAAGAGGTTATGGAATAATATGAATAAAATGATCCCATCTGTTTAAAATGTATTTATGTGTATTAAAATCTAAAAGGATATATGCCAAGATGCCAAAGGAAACTCCCTTTGGGTTACCCATTAGGGCTTTGCTCCCTGCTCATTTATATTTTCTAGTTTCTTCAGAAAGATCAGAAGGTACATATGCAAAAGTACTGTTTAATCAAAACATGTTTAATACACAAGTGCTAGCTCCTCTACTTTTAAAAGTGTATTCTACCATCACTGAGCACTCTCCTTATGAACACAAGAACTGAAAAAAAACCCCAAAACACCCAGTAGAGCTATTAATTAGTAAAACTTGTAACTACCAGGGGAGGACCTTAACAAAAGTAGCCTCATCAATGAGCAGCAAGATGCCCTCAAGCTTCCCTCCATCACCTCAGCTCCCCTCACGCTACTACGGTCTGTTATTTGTGGACTACACTCTTCAGTGAGGTCTGGTGGTGTCACTCTAAGATTTTAAAGTATATCTGAAGCTTTCTTACAGCCAGCTTTTTGCAGTGTTGATCAAAAAGCTTCATAATCTGCACTTCAGAATATTTTGTATCATAAAATCACACAATAAAAGATCAGCTCCCCAAGAAGACAAATCAATATCAGTTTCTATAAAGAAAAGATCAAAAGTCTTTTACTGAAGAAGAGACTACAAGCACAATTAAATTTTTCTTAGAAAGTGAGAAATACAAAATCTTCCATTTATAATCTGAAAAATAATGGAAACTAAAAGTTGTTCAATAAAAACAGCACAGAGAAAATGCAATTTTGTTCTTTAGTGTGTCTAGTTAAAAGAAAATGAAAGAAAAGGAGCTAAGAAAATAAAAGCCTATGAAAGAAATTTAAAGAGACTCAAATGACTGGTCCAAGAGGAAGAGACGTGGGCAAAGAAAAGTACAAGAAAGGTGTAAAGAGCAACAAAACCAGGTCCAACCTACCCTGCCCCAATCAGCCATGAAGTGCTCTTCCCAGTGGTCTGTTCACTATATCCCAGTTACCTCCAGGGTTTTCACTTTCCTGTTACTGACAATTGTGCTACAAGTCAATATTTTCACTAACTGAGAATCTGGCCCCTAAGTCACCCACCCCCCTTTTCCAATTTCAGTCTAAGGCCTCAAGGTCCCACCTTCCAAGCCTCTAATTGGCTGAACTCCTGCCAGTCCAGACCATTTATCCCCTGCCTTCCTCCTGCCCTAGCTGAGGGTTGCTGTGCCCAGCAACCAGATACCAGAGTCACCTCTCCATTCCGGATTCCATTGCCTGATGTCACTGTAAGAAAGCCCTCCCCCACCTAAAATGCTGCTTAAATACAAAGAGCTGAGTCAATATTTCCCAGCAGAACATCTGGCAGTTACAAACGAACTTTTAAAAAATTCTGTTTAGGACAAGGGAAGCTGACCGATATTTGTTTAAAATATGCCTTTGACTATATGGGTTGAACTAAACACAGGATCCAGCTTGCCACGAGAAGGTTTCACCTATTTTATAGGGTGGTAGCTTGAAATTTGATTGTGTTTTTATGAGAAGAAACTTACTGTGAGAGTTCAGCAGTTTCTTCATCATATATTTTTTTTCTCTCAGACAGCTCATCAGGCAGATACTTCACTATTAATTCTTCCAACAGCTGTGTGACACAGTACCTCCTATCTGCTAGATACTAAAAGACAATATTATTTTACATTCCGATACTTTTTTCCTACAGTATAAAACAGGCAAAACAGTATAGCTAATGTAGTAAAGCCTTTATTACATATTTATACAGTCAATCTGAATTAACTGAATTAGTGAGGGGGAACCTTACAGTGGATGATGCTAAACGGGCAAACCCATCTGAGGTTTTGCTCAAGAGCATAAAGCTGCATGGTGGCAGCTCGACCCAAGCTTTCCATACAAGGCCTGTGTCTCGCTATGATCACAAGTCCTTTATTAGCAGCTGTCAGCCCTGTGCCTGCCATCTCCCACACCCAAGGCCAGTTTCCATCTGACAGCTTATGGGTACCTGAAACTAGCATTTTTACTGAGAAACAAAAATAAGGTAAGGAATAAAGAATATGATGCATTTGCCTTGTTTTAAAACAGCAAAACTATGCCCCCCCCCCCAACACACACACCAATTTTTATGTTCTCTATTTCAGTGGCAGAGTTTCGGATAATTTTTCTTTCTTTCAGATTCTCCTTCCCCTGTCACCTTACTATCCCTCATCGCTTTTCCTGTATGATCCTCAGGACTCTGTATAAAATGGTGCATTTTAACCACTTCATACTCTGAAAAATTGCCACCTTCGTGCATTTTCATGTCATTATTCCAACTGCTAAAAGCCATTTCTTTCACTCCTGCCTATAAAAAAGCCCATCTATCTTAAGGTCTGGCTCCATTTTTACCATATTTATAAAGTCTTCCTATTTTCTCCTGTCTCCCAAGAACCCCATATTGCACTGCACTGTATTACATGCAGGGATACATCACATCTCTGTAACTGAATTAAACTGCACAGGGGAAGGGATCAGGTCAGAGTATACAGGACTTTGGACAAAGAAAGTGCCCAGTACAAATTTATTTAATAAAAGTACTGAGGAAAACTCTTGGGAGACAATGATGAGGTAAGATAAAGAGAGGTCATTCTTTAACCTGTGGATCCAGCATAAACAAGGGTTTTGGCATTATCCAATGAGAACGAGAGTAGGAAATATGAGAAGCTAGGAGAAGGTTCCCAAATTTTAGCATGAATCAGGGCTTGTTAAAATGCAGATTGCTGCACTGTACCCCAGAATTTTTGACTTAGTGGCTCTGAAGTGGGGACTGAGGTGACACGGATGCTGCTGGTCAGGGGAATACACTTTGAGAACCACTGAAGAGTGGTACTCTTGAGCAGATAATGTAGATACAGATAACTAACAAGTTTATTATAAAATTAATCACATTATAGACATTATATAAGCAATTTTATTACCATTTTTCTATTCAATTAATAAAGATGTTTTAAAATGTAATACTCATATGTTAAATTTGGGGCAGTGTGGCCTCTCTCACATTACTGATAGGAATCTAAATTTGCACATTTCTAGGGACCTAGGCAATTTGGCAAATGGTTTTAAGAGTCTTATAAACATAAGACCTTTAAGCTAGTAATTTCCCTCCCAGGAATTTATCCTAAGGAAATGGTCAAAGACGTAAAACATAGTATATAAAAAAGAGAAAACAAAACAATTTACAAACCCAACAATAGAGAAATGTTAAATCATTAGATTATTATACTGCTATAAAAATCCAATCTTCAAAATATAATTAAATGAAAAACTGAGCAAAATAAAATCACAAGCAGGAAAAACATAAAACTGTAGAGCATATCAATTTTAATTTTTTAAAATATATATTTTGGCCCGGCCGGCGTGGCTCAGTGTTGAACATCCAACAATGAACCAGGTGGTCAGGGTTCAATTCCCAGTCAGGGCTCATGCCCGGGTTTCAGGCTCGATCCCTAGTAGGGGGCGTGCAGGAGGCAGCCAATCAATCTCGTCATTGATGTGTCTCTCTCTCTCTCTTTTTCTCTCTCTCCCTTCCTCTCTAAAATCAATAAAAGATGTATATATATTTAGTTTGTACAAATCATATTATACAGGGTATTTTCAAAGTCAGGACACAGGATAAAGTTGTTAAAAACAGTATATTAGTTATATTTTTAAATAATATGCTTATTTCTTTCAAACTCCAAACATTTTTTTAAGGTGAGGTATCTCTAAATTTAAAGCAATGTACCTAATTGTTAATCTAAAATAAAACATAATATACTAGAAAGTATCTAAAAACTCTGGGAACACAGGAAAAATAGCATATTTAGAGTACTTCACCATAAAACACTGAGTATTAGTTGAACATGTAATTAACAAACTCTTTAAAAAAAAAAGTTTATCTTGTTTCCTGACTTTGTGAACATTCTGTATATGGTTTTGTGTTTTACCTATCAAACATAACAATGCACATATAATAATACCTATACAGAGTTGTGTTTTGTATATAGAAAATAGCTATGTATGTTCAATAGCAAAATGGTTATCAATTTTTTATTCATGTTTGGAAGACACTTTTTCTTTAAACAACCCTATCAACCACCAAAGACAGGATCCTCTCCCTTATCAATGCTATCAGTGCAGCTGGAGCTCAAGGGGATCTCCAGTTGCCCAAGCAAGACTGAGAGGGTGTTGTCCTCCCACCTGTTGCAGAAGATCCATTCCTACCTGGGATCCAGCTGCTTTCCTAACACAGGCTACTAGCGCTGATCACTGACTCTACAAGAAGGGGTGTGGGAAGCTGTGCCTTCCTCTCCTGTCCAGTCTACCACTTCCTAGAGCAGTGCTGTCCAATGTGGTAGCCAATAGTCATATGCACCTACTTAAATGTAAATGAATTAAAATTACAATTACAATTCCTCAGTCACATTAACCACATTTCAAGTGCTTCATACTCACATGTGGCTAGTGGCTACCATGTTGGACAGCACAGAAGTAGAGCATTTCCCACAATGCAGGAAGTCTACTGGAGAGAGTTGTTCCAGACGTTAAGGGGACTGAACCAGGCCAGAAATCTGACCTATTACTGGCAGTGGGAGGCAGGGCAGTTGGGTTTCCCCCAATATTGTCGTCATTAAAACTGAACCTATGTCTGACAGGTACTTAACCATATCCTCTTAGTTAAAAACATGAAGTACAGGGGCTTGGTCTCCAGGACCTCTCTGCTTCCCCTACCCTCTCTAACCTCACTTTCTCCAACACTCACATATGGCAATGAGAAGTTATCCTTCTCGGTTGCTCAGCATATATAACAGAATTCATTCTGAACCTGACAATCACTATTGTTTTGGCTGAGCAGAAGTAAAACCATGTTGCCAAACTTGAGACCAATAAACAGATAAAATGTTTACCTCTTTTAAGCTTTCTTTGCAAAGGGGACAATATGGTGTATGATCCAAACAACGCTCAAGACAATTCTTACAGAATGAGTGTCCACAAGGGGTTGTTACTGGCTCAAAAAACAACCTGCAATCAACCAAAATGAATGAAATACAAGTTAGTTTTCACATTAAACTATCTATTGGAAAAACTGGACAAATAACGATAGAACCATAACACTAACCTCTATCTAGAGAAGGAGGAAGGAGGGTCTGTGGGCAGAAGAGGAAAGGGGCAGTGGTAAAGGCAATTTCCCTCTCCTGAGGAACACTGTAAATGTTCTCTATCAACAGAGGTTCCCTGCCGAGAACTCAGAGCTTCACTAACAATACAACAACCACTCGCCACATGTGGCACTAACCACTTGAAATGTGGCTGGTCCAAACTGCGACACACAGTAAATGTAAAATACACACCATGTTTCCAAGCCTTAATGCAAAATAAATAATATAAAATACATCATTAATAATCACTAAATAGCTTTCATATAGATTATATTCTCTTCACTTTAAAACTGATTTTCTTAATAAGCTTATAAAAGGTTTATTATATCAAATTCATTAAAAGGAATAATCCAATAAATATTACATTTAAACCCTAAAGAAATATTAGGCTTAATACCAAATGCAATACTCAAATAATATGGGAAAACTAATTTTACTTACATTATAATTATTTCCTGAAATACCTCTGAATTTCCTAGAAGTACTATTAGATGTATAGGTATTTCAGAAATTGTCCTGTGTAATCCCCTCACCTTGTCAATGAAGAAACCTAGGCTCAGAGTTAGGAGACTCACTCGGGAACACAGCCTGTTGCTACCAGCCTCGTGGGGCCAGTACCAGGTCTCCCGACTCTTCAGGCCCTGTTCCTTTGACTCCACACAACTTACGTACCAGTCTTTTAGCATTCTAAGCTTGTACTTAATGGAAATCCTTATTCAATGGTACTTCAACAGGATTTTACAGTTTATATACACAAGATAGTCAGGTACAAACTTAGATAGTATAATACATAATTAGAAGTCTTAACCAAATCTAAAAGCACGCATATTTGTAAGTTTTAGTAATAAGTATAGCTTTTATAGTACTTAACAATTTTCCAGGTACTTTTTATATTTAAGTCATTGATTCTTATAACACTGTGAGAAAGGCTATGCAAACACTGACCCCACTTTCTAAGTAAGGAAAACTGAGGCTTACACATTAAAGTTATTTGTCCAAGGCATGAAAGGTTAACCTAGGAGTAAAATTCATATCTAGTGATTTTTAGCACAGTATTCTGTTCATTTACATTGTCCATTATTACAGAGTAGGTTACCTTTATCTACTGTGTATTTTATTCAAATTAATATAAAATATTCATCTTTTATAAAAGTTTACTTACTTACCTCATGCAGAGAGAACACTCAAAATCTGATACGTCTATTAGTTCCTCTGGGATGTCGCCATAAGTTAATGAAAACGCACAGGCTTCACTGGGAGTTTCTATTTAAACAAAGAGACAGGGTTATTTTGGGGGGAAATTTTTAAAGGTTATTCTAGATAAGTAAGTATGTTTTACATGAGTTTAGTGAAACTTTTACCTCCTTGCTTTTTAAGCTTATTTCTTCCATCTTCATTGACAACCACGTCCTGTTCTAAGAGAGACAACTTCCTTTTCAGGAGAGCACCTTTTTCTTGGACAGAGAGTAAAGGCTCTGAGGACACTCTTTTCAAGCAATCCTGTCTGGCTGGCATTTCTGTGGAATTTATAGCCTGTGCTGACCTGGCACGGTTTAAGCCTCCTTTGACAGGTTCTGACGGGGCCTCCGGTATTTCTTTGTTCTACAAAAATACAATAACAAGGGTATCTGCATTTCTTTACTATCCTTTACTGCTCATGCCAAGAATCAAACCAAAATGAAATTTCAATATGTTATAATGTTCCTTCTACTGTTAACAGCAGCAACTTTTAATTCTAAAACCCTGGCAAGTAGATGTTTACCGGTATTTACACAGCCCTAGACGTCCAGGTAACTTATGTTATAGTGAGGGTTAAGCCGTTATGCTGATTTAGCTGTTTCTACCCTGAGAAAACTAAAATAAATACAATGTTCTCAATTTTCCAAGAGACTACAACTTTTCTAACATTCTAAAATTATGATCAATGAACAAGTCTTTCTATATAAGTTTTGTGTGAAATAAAACTTTATAGACAAAAATCCTATTGAGACAACATTAAATAGCTTAAAAGTACCTAAACAGATTCTAGTACTGAAATGAGGGAAGTGAAGATCTTAACTTGTAAAGAAACGATACACTAAACCCTTGGTGATCTTTTCTGAGCTCTTACCTGCTCTGGGCCAACCTCACTGGCAGAGTGAGACTCTTCCATTACAGATGGAAAACCAAAAGGTTTGTTCTTAGTACACGGCAATGAACTCCAGGAAGAATCCTTCAGGCCTTCTTTTAAGTTTTCAGGTGATAGTAAATCAAATAAAATCTGTAAGAGAAATATTAAAAAGTAATAAAAAATATTTGGTTAAGGATAACATAAAGTTACCTAATATTTAAGAATTTTGAGAAAACTTGTAGGGGACATTATTTTTAATGAGCAGGAAAGGAACAGATTAAGTAATAAGCAGAACTGCCAAATCGATTTAAAAGTCTTACAAAATCCCTCAATGGGGTCAAATCATCTCAAAGAAATGACTCAAAAGGAAGGCCTGGGCATGGTTCAACTGAGAAGGGAAGGTGAAGGCTGACTTTTTAATGTAAGGATTGTAAAAAGAGGAAATCTTGCCCAGTCGGCATGGCTCAGCAGTTGAGCATCAACCTAGGATCCAGGAGATTGCAGTTTGATTCCCGGTCAGGGCACAGGCCTGGGCAGCCGGCTCGATCTCCAGCAGGGAGCATGCAGGAGGCAGCAGATCAATGACTCTCTCATCATTGATGTTTCTCTCTCTCTCCCCCTCTCCTTTTTTCTCTCTGAAATCACTAAAGACATATTTTTTAAAAAGAGGAGATCTCGCCCTAGCTGGTGTGCTCAGTAGTTAGTGTCAGCCCGCAGACTGAAGGGTCCTGGGTTCAATTCCAGCCAAGGGCACATACTGCGGTTGCAGGCTCAATCCGCGGCCCACTCCGGGAGTGTGCAGGAGGCAACCAACCCATGTGTTTCTCTTACATCGATGTTTCTCTCTCTTCAACTCTCTCTGAAAAAGAAATGGAAAAAATATCCTCGGGTGAGGATAAAAAAAAAAGGGGAGATCTTAGGAGAAGTAGAAAATATTTACCTCTGAAGATCAGCAAGGCCTATCCTGTGAAAATAGTTCATGGTTCACTCCCAATTTATATTTTAAGGCTGGACTTAGAGTGTTTATATGAACTAAAGAACTTGGACCTCTAACTACAGAGCTCTAAAATTCCATGTATTTACACTGAATTTAGCTGCTCGCTGAACAAATAATCTGCTCGGGCCGTCACCATGCTAGCTCTTGTTTGGGAGCACCAAACAGCAGCTGCCCCATAACAGCTGGGAGTTCACCTGAGAGGCAGCTGCAGTATCAACGTTTCTGGGCATTTCTATCAGGAATACATGTAAAACTCTCAAAGAAACACGGTAGGTCAAGACGAGGGAAGAACCTGGCCAGAGGAAGCGAGAGGGATTCAAATTTTTTTGGTTGTCAAATAAGCTGTATTTACATGATCAGCAGAGCATTTCTTAAAGTCTGAATTGGAGGTTTGATATTTTTCAGCTGTACTCTCTCTCAAATACACAAAAATCAGATATTTCCATGTAAATAAAAGAAAATATATACACTGTAAATAAAAGTGTGCGTATCTGGTAGGTGCTCAAGCAATACCCCATTTAATGAACAAACATTTAAAAACCTGTGTATTTTACATTTCCCTTGATTTGAAAAAATGTATTAAATACACACCTACCATAGAACCCAGACACTCCACTCCTAGGTGTTTACCAAAGAGATAAAAACATACGTCCACAAAATGACTGGTACAAAAATGTTCATAGCAGCAACTAGAAATAATCCAAATGAAAACCACTACTAACTGTGAATGCCACAAATTGTGGTATGTTCATACAATGGAATACTTAGTGAACAATAAATATTTTTAAATTATTGGATGTATTTCAAAAATATTATGCTGGGGGGGAAAAAGCCAGACACAAGAGTATACGCTGTATGAGTCCATGTACATGAAGTTCTAGAACAGGCAAAACTACTCTTATAATAATAGAAACCTGAACAGTAGTTGCCTCTGGGAGCAGAGAGATAGGGAATTTACTGGAAAGGAGATGAGGGAATTTTCTGGCTGATGAAGATATTCTATATCTTGATTGGGGTGCTATTACATGGGTTTATAATTTCTCAAAACTCAATGAACTATAAAAGCCATGCATTTCAATATGTAAATTATACCATAATTTACAAGAAGCATACTAGGGAAAAACAAATATTTCAAAGCATCAGTTATTTTGCATTCACCTAACCTTATTAACCAACAAAGAAATATTTACAGATATGTAAGGATATCCAACAGCACGAAAAATGCAAAGTTATAAGCCCGTAAAGAGTCTGCAATCTTACCAGGAAGTAATGCTAGCAAATACAGAACAGTCAAAAAACACACAACTGTAAACGTAAGACTCTCCCGGGGTGCTTCTTAAACTATGCCCCAATTCCAGAGACTCTAACTCCAAATGTCTATGGTGGGGCCTGGGAATCTTTATGTTTACCATGCACTCAAGATTCTGACAAAAAACCATACTCTAAGGAACACGGCAAAGGTGATTAAATAATGTGGCATGTTTTGATGACACTGAGGAAAGAATCATAACTGGGCACTGAAATTGCATTAGGGTAGATTCCTCTCCAAAACTGTTGAAGGCTCTAGTCTTTCCAGATGCTCTGTAAGTTTGACAATAGCTGAACGCTACTGTCAAGCTAGTATAGCAAAACCTGTGTTCTGAAGAAACCTGTTTAACTTGGTTTAACCCAATGTTCCCCAAAGCCATTTGATCAGAGAAGCCCGTTCCCTTTTTCCCTTTAATTAGCACCTACTCACACACTACAGAACACACCTTGGAAAGCAGAATGTGGACTACTGAGAAAAATCAAGGAAACAATTTGACTGGGGCAATACTACTGGCACCCATAGAAAATAAGCAAAGTTTAGACCTGAAATGAAAGGCAAAAGGCACCCCATAAAAATTCCTGAGCGGAAGCATCATGACAACAATGTTTAATTAAGAATAATTGGTCTGGCTCAGATTAAACAAACTATTGGGGAACATCCAAATGTAACTAAGCAAAAACAATGCATTGAAATATCTGTGAATGAAATGTTCTGACTCCAGTAAGAATTCAATACACTAAGTATATGAACCTGAAAGCCACTTCTCAAATTGCTGCTAAATTTGACTTACAGATTCCTTATGTTCTTATCCCAGTTTTCTAATTAGGGTTTTTCAAAGGCACTGTGTCTTAGCCCTGCCTTAAAGTATGAAAGTTGGTAGACTCATTACCTTTTCCACTTCTAGTTTTGCAGGTGCAAAATCGTCATCAAGGGCTAAGCACTGCAGAAAGAGTTGTAAGGCGTCACCTAAAAAGCCAGCATCGTGGAGGACTTTTCCTTTCCTGAAGTAGACCTTCAATAAAAGCACATAGGATGACTTTCATTGATAGAATTGTTTAAAAAGAAACACTATCAAGTAAAGAAAAAAGGTCTGCTCAGAAATGCTTACTTTGAAACTCTGAATGACTGAGGAGCTCGGAACACTTTACAGGTCTATTCACACACTGCCCTGGAGAGGGAGGAACTGGGGCCGAGCAGATGACTTCAAAACCACATTTCTAATTATATCACTTCAGTAGTTAAGTCCAAGGGTTCTTTCTTTTTTTATGTTTTAAAGTTGTCCATACAGAGCATTTTCCCTCTTATTCTTAATATATATGTGCCTCGTACTAACCAGTCATGCCAGTGTGGGATTCTCCTTAGTTTTTGTTATTAATTTATAATTTTTGGAACATCCTTACTATACTGTCTCCAAAGGCACAGTCTTGAATGGAGGAAAAAGACACAAGAGCAACTTCTGGCTTAAAGAACATATGTGGGAGATGGACTGATTTGCCTCAGCAATTTGATAAGAAGGACAGTTAACAAACTAATTATATCCATGCCGCAAGTCTTTTTCAAACTAAATAGCAAGGCCACCCCCTTGGGCCCCATCTACTCTATTAAATCACCGCCTAATCACCTGGTTCCCATCATAACGCCCCAATCAGTTCCCCAGCCTCAAGAACCTCTTCTCTTCCCATTAGTAACCCCCTGCATCGATAGCCAGTTTGTACCCAGCTTCACAACATGGCCAGCTGTATCTTTGAGGAAATTCTGTATACTAAAATCTTTTTTTTTTCTGTGCCTTGAATTCAGGTTGTTCTTTAGTTAGGAAACAGATTTAATTTAAAAATTGTCAGATGTTATTTATCCAAAATATTAACCTTAGATTTTGAGAACTCTCTATATTTTTACTTAAAGAGTCAACCAAATCACCCTGTTCATACTTATAACCATAATTGAATGCATGTTCCTTACAGTTGAGATTTTAAAATGTACACAAAATGTAAAGCAGTAATTTTACCTCAGGCCAACTTGGCAGCTGGAAGAGAACTGTGTTCAGATCCTCTATGGCTGCTTTGAACTCTCCGAGACCAGCATATGATTCAGCTCGGTAAATTTTTAGAGTCAAGTTGCCGGGCTCTGAAATAAATGGTTTATAAAAGTTGATTGTTTTTAAGATTATTATACACTCCACAAAATACATACTAGATTTAATAACTGACCTAGTGATTCCAGTCCATCACCACCAAACCAAAGGTTGTGAACCCAGCATATGCAACCTACCCACATGTTGAATTTTACCTAGAAGTTCTGCGAAATCACTATAAGTAGACTATTTTGGTGGAGGAAATTGTGGCTCTTCAGAACACTGGAAATATTTTTATAGTATGAATAATCACCTCTAAGAAATGTCTTCTTAAAATAGGGCATTCTACACAGATTTAAAAGACATGTCTTGGATGTTTAGAAGATTTGCCTTTTTATAGTAAATCTTAATTTTTTATACCCTAGTTTCTAACTCCCTATTTATAAGCAACCATAAGTGCCGCGACTGCTCATGGAATTTCCACATAACAAAGACTGACCAAGGCTCAATCTCATGAGGTATATAATGGTCCTGGTTTGGGAGAAAACGGGTTGACGAGAGTCAATTTTAAGAGGTCAAAATTTTAATCCCTGCCATTAGCAAGAATGGTATTGAGCCATCCTAAACCAGATTTCATTTCAAATATTCCTAGGAAAAAACTTTGTTGTTAATTTCACTATCCTCTGCATCTCTACATGAAAAACCAAATTAGTATCCAACGGCAATCAGAATTTCAGACACTTAGCTGGCTCACCCAATACAATAATCAATTACTACAGGTATACAGATTCTAAAACGGAAGTCTAAGCAAAAAACTAATTTTCAGTACATCTACAGATTACATTAACTTGATTATTCTTTTAAAGCTATTCATCTTTGACACTTCCAAAAATGTATGCGAGAACAAAGCATCTGTGTGAGAAGCGCATCAAGACCTACAATGCCTCATTTAAATCAAGCCATCATACAACTCCTTGCTAGCGTCATGGTTTACTCCAGCTTATTAAAAATCACTTTTCTACAAATAACTCTCAACTGAACAACTACAGTAGGCAGGCCTTTTTTAATTGTTGGTGCTTGAGAATTGGAATGATTCTGTTCTCTCAAATTTAAACCAGTGAAAAAGTTTAAAGAACAAAATTTATATTTTCTGAAAATACTTCTTAAATAAAAGTCATGTTTAGAATATTTTGCCTTTCGCCTGGCCGGGCGTGGCTCTGCGGTTGAGCGTCAACCCAGGATCCAGGCGATCGGGGTTCGATTCCCGGTCAGGGCACATGCCCAGGTGGCTCAATCCCCAGTTGGAGGCCTGCAGGAGGCAGCCGATCCATGACTCTCTCAACATGGATGTTTCTATCGCTCTATCCCTCTCCTTTCCTCTCTATGAAATCAATAAAGATATATTTTAAAAATAATAATAAAAAAAAAATAATGAGAGAGTCATGGATCGGCTGCCTCCTGCACATCCCCCTGCTGGGGATGGAGCCCGCAACCTGGGCATGTGCCCTGACCGGGAATCGAACCGAGATCTCCTGGATCATAGGTTGATGCTCAACCGCTGAGCAACAGCAGCTGGGCTGTAATCCCGATTTGACAAGGATAACTGGAGTTCAGAAAGTAGAGAGAAGAGTATGCCAAAACAGTCCAAGAGTGAGTTGTAAATGCATCAGCATCAAAAACCCTGAGCTGTAAAAAAGGGCTGCAGCCCAGGACGTGCAGTTCTCTGCCCACAGCTGAGGTGCTTCCAACAGCATCCCTGAGGCCCGCCTCCGCTCCAGCAACGCCAGAGAGAGGGACTTCACTGTCACAACAAGCAGCCCATTCCACTCCTGGATCCTTTCCTGGGATTTAAAAACATTTCCCTTTTTTTCCCTTGTACAGCGAGTCCCCATCGCCTTATACCTGATGCTGCGCACATTCAGAAGTACTGAATATCACACCCTTTCATCAATGCCTTCACTGCTCAATAGTCACCTTTCCACAGCACTGGAGGAAGTGACTGAGAAGACCTGTCTTTGAGAAAACCAAGTCAATCTATCAAACTGCTCCACTCTGACTAAAGCAAAATACAAAAAAAAAAAAGAAGAAAAAAGGCTGTCCCCTCTCTCTCCTCTCAACACAGAAACACTCAGACTGTTGAGCTGCTGAGACTCCCAAAGAGATGACAAGAGAGTCAGATTTTAAAGCTCTTGCTCCCCACTTCTTCATGGGTAATGTTTCTGAGAACTACAAATATTAGTGGAATGATTATATTGGATGACTCTATTATGAAAAAAAATATCAGGTGAACTCAATACTTTTTAAAACTGTTTAGGGCCACCTCTTAATTCTAAAACAAGAACTAAATGCACTCATTGAGGCCCTTTGAACAGCCAAAGCGTAGAGCAAGTTAATGCATACAAAATACCTGAAAGTGACACACTATAGCATTACTGAGTGTTTTATTATTATTGTGTTCCTTCACTGTATATGCATAGCATTAATTTTGAAATCTATTTTTGTGTTTTTTCCATTATTTCCTGTCTTTGTATCCTCAAGTCCTTTCCTAAATGTTTACTAAACTAGGAAAAATTCATTAAAATCAGTTCACTTAAGCTCCTTAATTCATGCTCTCATTTTCTCTTCTTTTAGACACAGTAATATTGAGTCATTAGACAAATAAAATGAAACAAAAATCTGTCATACACCTGAGGAAACTAGTCTTAAGCTGTCCAAGGAATTTCGTGGGCTAAGGGCAGAATCCTCCTGTCATCATTCCTCATCTTTTTCCAGTCCTTAGGAATATGTTTGATTAGCAACAGGTTATTTCCTTAGTTCATTTTCAAGAAACTTTTTTTCAATTATAAAAGTTATTTATTTATAAAATTTAAAAAATATAGAAAATTGCCCAGCTGGCATGGCTCAGCAGGTGAGCATTCACATATGATCCAGGATATCTGAGTTCGAGTCCCGGTCAGGGCACATGCCCGGGTTGGGGGCTCCATCCCCAGCAGAAGGCGTGCAGGAGGCAGCTGATCAATGCCTCCTCATTGATGTTTCTGTCTCTCCCTCTCCCTTCCTCTCTAAAGTCAATAGAAACATATTTTTGAAAAAAAATACTTGCTAACAGTGAAGTCAAAGACTATACAAAGACAAACTATATTAAAGACAAAAATTTTCTTCTCCAGGTATTTTAAATAAAATGTTCTCCCCTTTATGACCTTTATTATTATTATTATTTTTTAAACAGTTCAAACTGTAAATTATACTGTTCTGTTCCATTCTTTTGGGGGAGAGGGGTGTAAAAAGGGAGGCAAGTCTGTAAAAAAAAATTCATTAAAACTAAAAGGAAGGCAGCATAGCAAAGTGGCATCATTTCAATAGACTCAAGTACAAAGATTCAATGCAGACAAGACTTTTACATAATAGCCTTGAATACTAAAAAGATAGAAAGTTATGAAACATCTGAGAGTTAATATCAAAAGATCAATGGATTAAGCGTTATCTAAATATATTTCAATTCAACAGAAACTTATGTAATCTCAATGGGAAACTTCTGATTTTGGCAAAGGTTTTCAAGCTTTCTTGCTGACAAATAAATTTGAATGTGTGTGGGCTAACTGTAGACTAGATTATTTTTTTCTATTTAATAGTATTTACTTGTTTCATTATAAGACTTACATGAAGAAATTATAGTGAAGTTCTTTTTTCATTGTCAACAATGACAGTATCATTAGTAATTATAACTGTCCAATTATATAAATACATTCCAAATGCCTATCTAGCTAACTAGCCAACTCTCAGAAAAGTTAAAGCCTAACTGTTCAAACACATTTTCTTTTTAAATAGATCTTTATTGATTTCAGAGAGAGGAAGGGAGAGAGATACAAACATCAGTCATGAGTCATTGATCGGTTGCCTCCTGCACGCCCCCTACTGGGGATCAAGCCTGCAACCCTGGCATGTGCTCTGACCAGGAATTGAACAGAGATCTCCTGGATCATAGGTCGATGCTCAACTGCTGAGCCTTACCAGCCGGGCTGTACAAACAGATTTATAACTCTACCAAATATTTTTCTTTATGCCCAAAAACTGTTAAACATATAATATTTTACCACTAAAAATTCAAAGGATGAAAAATGTTATCCTCATTAGTTTCATTTAAACATATTTTCAAGTATGGAATTAATGATTTTTGAAAGACCTAAAAATGAGGGAAAAACAGATTAATGAGGTGAAAGTCAGGAGACTTGGGTTCTAGTCACGCAAAAGTAGAATTAAGTAGTTGAGTGGGCAAAATTCCCATGTGCAGTCTACACAAATTGAAAAAAAAGAAAAAGTAGATTTTTCAGAGTATTTTTCTGTTAAATACTACTACTAATAATAATACCCTCAGCCCTGGCCAGGTAGCTTAGTTGATTAGAGCGTATTCCCAATACGCCAGGTTGCAGGTTCAAATCTTCAGTAAGGGCACATTCAAGAATCAACCAACGAATGTGTAAATAAGTGGAACAACAAATCAATGTTTCTCATTCTCTCTCTCTCTCCCTTCCTTTTTCTCTAAAATCAATCAATAAAAAAAAATTTAAATACCCTCAATGGAAGGTGCACAATCTTCCTTAAAAGATTGGCCACAGAACATTAAGCTAGATCTTAATTAGTAAATGTTCTCACTGTTCTTCCATGGATTAGGACTTAAATTCTTATGAAATGCCTCATTTAAGAGGTCAAATCACAAAATCATAATACTGAATAGAGCTGTCAATAAGTTCCATCCATTATTTTATACCAGTGACAAAAAAACTTCCTTGGAAATTTATGTTAAACATTTTCACTGGATGAGTGACAAAGGCAAGATGAATCCTGGTCCAACATGTAGAACCAGAAGATACAGTGTCGTTGCCTCCACAACCAGCTAGCCATTTGACTGTGGACTCTGGACAAGTCATTTCACTGCCCTAGCTTCTGCTTCTGTTTTTAAAATCAGGATAGTGGCCTAGATGGTTTGTACTTCCTCTCTAATACTCTGTTCATCCAGAGAGGTGAAGTTGTATCAGAATTTTGTATACCAAAAAGTTCTCTTTTGTTCTGGATCTGCCATTCTATTTCATTTTATAACTGCCTACTCCCCATAAAAATAGTGAAAGTATATGAAAACGTACCAGGTTTGTGCTTTGAACTCTAAAGGTATTAAATAACTTGATATACTGTTACTAGTTCAAAATTACAAAGCACTTAGGGTAAAAGAACTGTAACAAAATACTTTAAATTACATAGTTTATAAATTTACCTAATACCTAACATCAGTTTATACTTTAGATGTCTTACTTTCGTAGGGATTATTCCCCCAAGTATTATTTCATACAAATATAGATGCTAAGCTTGAAATAGGCTTATTTAACAAAAGGTTTAACAATGACACGCTTGACATTTTGGGCCTATTGTGTGGGAGGCTGTCCTGTGCATTGTAGGATGTTTAGCAGCATCCCTAGCTAGATGTACCAACACTAATCCCATAAGGGGTGGCAACTAAAAACGTCTGCAGATAATGTCCCCTGGGGTGGGGGGGTGTACAATCTCCCTGGCAGAGAACCACCGATTTACAGGACAACTCTATATTTTACAGAGACAAGTCAGGCGAGGTCCCCGTCCACAGCTTAACACCATCTTAAGTGCTAACCTAGGTTAGGAGGCCTGAGCGGCTTCTTGGAGAACAGACAAAAGATCTAAAGGCCACTCCCCGCAGCTTGATCGGGAGCACGAAAGCAACCCGAGGCGTGACAAAGAACTGGGACTACCTCTTCATCTTGACCGTGAACTAGGTGTCATTCAAAAGTAAGCACACATGTGTTTATGAAACATGACTTGAAATAGGTTGAAGCCGTCAAGAGGCACCAATCCCGGAAGCCTGTCCAGGCAGGACCCGCACAGCCCGGGGCAGCTCGGACACCCGCCGGAGCCCAGGGGCCGGGGCCCCCCGATGCT